GCCCGCGCCCGCGCCCGCCGGCAGCCGGCTCTCGGGCGAGGAGGAGCGGCTGCAGATCGCGGCGCTGAAGGCGAGCCTGGAGGAGATCGAGGCGAACCTGGCAGACGCGCAGGCGGCGCCGCTGCTGCAGGCCCTGGCTGACGGCCAGCTGGATTTACGGGTGGTGCACGGCCAGCAGACCGAGGCGGCGGCGGTCGTGATGCGCTGCGCGGCGCGGCTGCGGCGCGCGGCGCAGGCGTTTGAGGGGGGCTTCTTCTCGGCCTGCCGCCTGGCGCAGGGCGCGCCGAGTGCGTCGACGCTGCTGGACGCCGAGTCGATTGTGCTCAAGGTGGGATTCGTTGACGATGGGCAGGGGACAGCTGAGTATGATCCAGTGGACACAGCAATTTAGACCAGGTAAACACCAACTAGGACAGCCTCACGGCCAGAGCTCCTGTCGGTTCATGAAGCTCATTTGCCTTGCTTTGACTGCTCCACTCTTGAAACTTATCTCTGGATCCCGCTCCACACAATTCCACCCAATCTGAACTCCAGGGACTCCACGCCCTGCATCTCATGCGGGCGCTGTCTTCGCTGGCCGGAGGCGTCATGGGCCGCGGCGTGGCGGCCGCCCTAGAGCCGGACGAGCGCCGCATCTGCACCACGCTCGCGGCCTCGTTGCCGCGCGACCGCCTGCCCCAGAGCCTGCTCGAGCGCCTGGACGAGGCGCGCGTCTACGAGACGGCCGGCGAAGAGGGCGGCGGCCTCGACGCCGCCGGCGGCGGCGACGCCCTCGGTGGGGGCGACGTGTTTGACCTGCCGCAGGGGGCCGGCTGGCTGGCAGAGCAGCAGGGCGGAGAGGGCTGGGGCGGCGCCGGCGCAGACGGGGTCGGCGGCGCCTACGATTTCCAGCGCGCAGAGCGGACGGCCGCACTTGGTGACGCCGACAGCGGCGGCCTCGGCTTCTCCGCCGGCGCGCCGCTGTTCGCGGCGGCGGGGCACGAGCGCGGCGCGTCGGCGGCGCTGGACGGCAAAGGTGGCGGCACAGCGGGCGGCGATGCCGCCGCCGGCTTGCTGCGGCTGGATGAGGATCTGGAGCTTGTGTTGGAGGATGAGGAGGAGGACATGGGCAGTCAGAGGCAGGACGGCGGCGCCGGGGCGCCGGCCAGCGAGGGCCACGCTCTCGACGCCGCAGCGCCGCGGCCGCCGCGTGGCGGCACGCAGCGGGCGCAGCGGCTGCCGTTTGGGGGCCGCGTCAGCGTGACGGGTCAGGTGCGGCCTCAGGGCGGCAAGAAAGGCGGGCAGCTGCCGCCCAGCTCCAAGCCCCTGAAAGATGTCGGCAAGGCAAACATGCAGGTTGGTTGATTGTGTGACAGCACGGATTGGGTTGTGCTAATAGGATGCAAGGGAAGAGTGCGCACCCTCTATGTGGTTTGGATTGGATGTGTGGCAGTCCACGGGTGATTGCCTGAAACAGGCTGCTCTGCAGCAGCCTCTGGTGACCACCAGTGATTGGCGCACCTGCACTCGTGCTGTGTCTTCAAGGGGTAAGGCTTATATTGCAATCAAGGACTGCGGCGTGCCTCACGGTTGCCTCCCCTGCTCTTCACCAATCAAACAGGTCAGCGGACCATCCCCCGAGTTCGAGCTGGCGCAGAGCGCAGTCGGCCGCATCAAGGTCTGTGGGGGTGATCTGGGGCCACTGCCTCCACGGGTGCAACTGAGCGGAAGGCAGATCTGAATATGGAAGCTGCGGACTGGAACAAGTCGGGTGTGTCAAGCAAGGTGACACTTGGAACCGTTGACTGCAGCAATCAGGTCTCCGCCAGGCTGCATCCATCCTTGTCTGTGTCCCCTCCTTAAGCCCGACCCTGGTCTCGTATTGCCCATAGATCGACCCCAAGATCAAGAAAGCGCACCTGGAGGGCTGCCGCCTGTCAGAGATGTACGAGAAGGCCGGTGCCCTCAAGAGCCAGCGCGCCGGGGCCGCCATGGGCGGCCAGCAGCGCCAGCTCAGCCGCGCTGAGCTGGACGCCGCGCTCGCGCGCGCGTCGACCGAGCGCACGCTGTACCAGCAGATTGCGGAGGCGCGGCCGATGGCGGAGGCGGTGCAGCAGGTCCTCTTTGACATGCGCGACTGGATCCAGGTAGATGGGGTTTGGCAGGGATGCGTGCCGGGGGGAGGGGGGGATTGGATAGGGCAGGAGGGTGGGTAGGGCCGATGCAGGGCTGTGCAAGAATTTCAAAAGCAGCAGGGCATGCTTGCACCAGGCGCCCGCCGGCTGTCATTTGTCAACACCCCTTGCGCCTCGCCAGCAGCTAGCCATTGTGTGTGTCTCACCGGGTCCATGCAGTCTTTCGGCGCCCTGCACTAGCAGCTAGTCGCACTGCTGCCCAAGCCCCTGCTGGCCTTGCAAAGTCCCGGGGAATCTTGTGGTCCTCCGCCCACCCCCTTCCTTCATGCAACGCGGCAGCGCCTGTACGAGGCGACGGCCGGCGGCGTCCAGATCGAGATCTGCGTGCTGGTTGACAACAGCGCGAGCATGGGCCGCATGGCCGGCCAGACGCGCCAGGCGCTGGTGCTGCTCTGCGAGTCCCTGCGGCGCCTGGAGGCGCGCTTCGCGCTTGTGCGCTTCGGGCGGCGCCACGGGCAGCAGGTGCTCAAGCCGCTGGGCGCCGACTGGGGCGCCGAGCTGGGGCAGTTTGCGCTCGAGGCGCTCACGTTTACAGAGGGCTCCTATCCGGTGGGTGGGCACAGGGGCAGTGGCAGCACGGCTCAGGGACAGGGTGCCAGCAGAACTAGGGGTCGAGGCAGGGTTATGGGCTGCCTGGCTGTGAAGTGTGATTAAGGTTGTTTGGGTGTTGCAGATGCAATGCCAAGCACACGATGTCAGCCAGAAACACTACCGTGATTGCCTCGCCATCAATCCCTTTGCACAGGCGACGGCGCTGGACTTTGTGGCCCGGCGGGTCTTCACCGACGGCCCAAGCGGCGGCTCCAGCGCTGATGCTGTCGCGGGGTCTACGGCTGGCGCGGCGTCGCTTGGCGGGAGCACGGCGGCGAGCGGCGCCGTGCGGCGAAAGGCGGTGCTGGCGCTGGTGGATGGCCTGACACAGGAGGTGAGGCCTGCTGGTCTGGGGCTGCTTGGCCTCTTGGATTAGGATTGTTGCACGATTCCGCGGTCGCCCGCTCCTGGAGCCATCCAGGCTCATGGGATGTATCATGGTATGGAGCCTCTTGGTGCTTGCAGTACCCTGACCATGCCCACCAGCATGGACGGGTCTGGCCATTACAGACGATGCTGCCCGCCTAAGTGTGTGGGCTGTGCATATCAAGTCCAGAAGGCCTGCGTTGCATTGGATCGGAGGGCATAAGATAGACGAACAACAGAAGAATGGGGTAGAATGTCCTGGGGAAGCTGGCTGCCTGGCCCAACAGCAAGTTATTCAAGTGCCCCTTTCACCCACCTCACCAGATGCGCGCGGAGGACTACATGAGTGCCCTGCGGCCTGACGGCATCAACCTCATGGTCATCAACCTGTGAGCCCGCTGGAGGGGCGGCCGCGCTCTGGTCGCACCAGGCAGCTCGCGGGGACAGACTTTTGTGACAGCAGGGTGCACGAGGTCGAAGCTTGCAGGGCAGGGCATCAGCAGATAGAGCCTGAGTCTGCCCGAGGTCGACCTGTGGTGATCTTGGAAACCTTGTTTGACTGGGCAGCGCCCCCCCCCCCCCCGCCGCGCCCAGGTATGATCGCGAGGACTCTGGCCACCTGCCCAAGATCGAGGGACTCTGGTGAGCTGTCAAGGGGCGAACCCTCAAGGGGGTACCGTATGCAGGCATGGGAAGGCTGCCGCGAAGGAGCCAGAACAGCAGCGCCCATGCACTCAAGCTGCCCGTTCAGACCAGGCGGCGTGATTGCAGCGTGGGCTCGCGCAATAGGAAAGGTCATATCGGGGCCCGTGTCAGCCAACCGGTGGGCTCTTCTGCCACAACGCCCCACAGGCACCGGCCGCACGCTCCCTCTTGAACTATCCCTATCTGACTGCCAACTCCCCACTCCAACCTCAACCTCAACTCAGACTCCAACCCCGACCCGACGCCAACCGCAGACCCCAACCCCAACACTAGCCGCAAACCCCACCCCAACCCCAACCCCGACCACCCTCGCACCAGGAATGCGTGCAACGCGCTCTACGAGACCGTCCCGATGCAGCAGGCGTCCGACCAGCTGCCCCAAAAGGTCGCCGCCCTGCTCACGCGCTACTTCGCCGAGACGTACCGCGCCGTGGCGGCGGCTGCCGCGGCCGCCCCAGGCGATGGCGCACGGCCCGCCGCCGTCGCCGGCGGGCGTGGCTGGGCCGGGCTGCTGACGGCGCCGCCCGCGCCGCCGCCGGGCGTCGCGCCCGAGCTGCTGCGG